GACAGTGAAAACATAAACGACAAAAAGGGAAGTTGATGTATAACAAAAGTAAAAAAAAAAAATTACAAAGAATACACAAGACTAAGATGTAAACAGATTGCATTCTCTACCTTAGAATGCTTGAATGGGGGGAAGCTGAGTAGAGCTTTTTTGGGTTTATTGCTTCTAAGCAGTCTATGGTGGAAAAAAAAGAATAAAAGAAAAAATTAAAAAATAGATGACATACATTAGCTGCGATATCCTGCAGCCTTTGTCTTGGTGTCACTCCTTTTCTGTAGCGTATGCTAGTCCCTTTTTTTTACATTTTAGCTCTAAGTAATGGCTTTATTTTTTTTGCCCCTTTTCACTTCCGTTAAATTCAGAGTGGCCATGCTAAATTTTGAATTTAAGCTTGAACCAGAGGACAATAAATTTTGATAGTCATAGTTATCTTTAATAATACAAAGAGCTCAAGTCAAAATTGGGAAAAGTCTAGTTTAAAAGCACAATGAAAGGTAACTACACCTGGTTTTCATCAATATAAAAATAAAGTAAATTGGTATGAAAGATCGTTGATTACTTTTGTAGCTTGGAGTGCAGTTTTATGGCAGAAATAAGGTTTTCCTGTCGTAGGTAGTATGTGTGGCAAAAGCAGTGCAAAAATGCTAATCCACGCTTCAGTTCCTTCCTAGTAAAAAGCTGGTGTAGGCAATGCCAATCCATACAGTACTTACACTTCTAGCTGACATATAAATATATCTTTAGATAAATCCTGTCCTTAGTATGTTCTTTCAACAATGGTAATAAACATCTGCATTAGAAACAAAGTCTTTCCTCTCCCCCGTCTCCTGTACTGCAGAAAACTGCTTGAGACTGAAATACAACCAAATACATGCAAATACGTTTTATTGGGACTGATTCTGCATAGATTTTGAGTAATTGAAACTAATGGAACTATTTGCATGATTAAAGAGAGATACCTAGCAATGTGCCGAATGGCATCTCGGGCTATCAGTGCCAGTGACAGGAAATTAATATGAAGGAGTTGGTACGCACTTTTTCACTTCCCCAAGTCTAGGATTGGTTCAACAGCTTTGGTGATTGCAGAAAAATACAGCATCGCTGGACCTGGAGTGTTTATTTTCTTGCTCATTACTTTTCCGTGCTCTTGCAGGACAGATTTAAGATCCTTAGCAATTGTTTTGATGGTGTAAGAGTAGCTTAGCAGACCTGAAATTCGGGACAATAATGTTTATCTGCACAGCAGTTTCACTATTATTAAGTTCCCCACGCATTGTGAGGATGATTCACAGTTTGTTGGTTTTGGCATTTAATATGTATTCATTCATATAAATACTCTTCAGACAGTTCACATTGATCTTAACACAAACTTCAGTTCTGTTTAGGCAGTCAGTGAATTCAGTATGCAGAAGGAATTTAGCATACAGTAAAAAAAATTAATTACCTGGTTACCTCCACAGGCTCTCGTGAAAGCTCCTCTTCAATGCTTTGGTGGAGACAGAGCACTTGAAGTGTAAAGGTAAAGGCTGTCAAATCAGTTTTGGCAAATTGGCAGCTATGATAACTTACAGCCTTTTTACTTTCCTTTCCAAGCTATCTGCTCCATCCAACTCAGGAGTGATGTGTTGAATGAATTCCCAATTCCCTTGAAGGGTCTGGGTACTTCACAATACGTGTAGTATTGGATAGGCACAGGCAAAACAAGTTATAATGCACCATTAAAACCTCTTTTTATTTCAGTAATACCTTTTTCAACAGTCATCAGGGCCAGCTATAATCTAAGTTTAAATAATAATCTAGATACATCTAGAGGATGAGGTAGTCAACCAAAGACCTGAAACAGTCTCTAGAAGTGCCTTTCTCTTTTTATCAATTATCTGAAGAGATCAGTTTGGCACCTAACCAAAGTGTCTCAGCTAAGTGGGTTGGAATTGGATCTAAGCTTTTTTCGTCATAGTTTTAGATAGGAAAAATGTCTGAAGTTGCTGAATTTATAGTAGGCTAAAGCATGTTGAATTACCCCACAGTTCCTATCAGCTAAGAGCGTGCATGTGGACCTTGCTGTGCCAAGAATTTTAATTGATGATGACTTGATTGTGTATTTGATAACAAAGTCAATCAAAACAATTAGTGTCATATCTGGTAGTTGAGTGCACTTAGAACTTGCACTGTTTCGCAGATCCATGCTTCATGATGGCAGGCTTTAGCAAGTCATGTCTGTTTCTTGCCGTGTTTTAGAAGTAAGTTTTGGGTAAAGTCATAGTATTTCTGATTTGTAGAGCTAAATTCAATTTTATCCAGATCGCATCTACCTTTATAGGATTTGCTTATCTCTATGCTTATTTAACATAATCAGATCTTGCCGTGGTTGGCATATTCCCCGCTGAACTGTGAAAGTAGTATTGCTTTCTGACTGCTCATGATACAGGACTGTATTTATGCAAGACCTGAAATATACCACAGAAACTATTTAGATTAGGAGTATACATGATGTGTATCATTATTTTTTTTTAATAGATAACTGTAATACTCTTTTGATATGTTTTTAATGTAGCCATAGATTGCGTTTGTACTCCTGCTGTATTGATAGTAACATCCAAAACAATGTACTGAGCTCTAAATTATTTTACAAAAAAGAAGAAAAAGTTTTCTCTAATTATGCCTGTACCCTTATTGGAAAACCAAGACACTTTAAAATATCCAAATATTATCTTATCAGATTCTATTGAAAGAGTAAGTAACACAGACAGAGAAAAAATAAGTTTTATTTTCACTGGATTTTTTTGTGAAGATCTCTTCCAAGAGAACTCAAACACCTGCTTAATAGTTTGATTACCATTTCATGACAGCCAGCCGCTTCCAGTCACATATCTCTCTGCTATCTGAGAAAAAGTAAGATATATGATGTGTCTGAAGCCTTAGGACAGATTTTCATCATGATAATAACAAAATGAAAGGGCAATCGAAAAAAAAATTATTTAAAATACAGATGATGGCTTTTGCTGAACTTAATATCATTTGCTAGTTTTTAAGGTCTGTAATTTCCACTCATGTTAATGCATTCTAATTATTATCCTGCTTAGCTTTTGTTCCTCATGAAGATTAAAGTGGTCTGTTTGATGTGTGCAAAGAAGTGACTACAGAAAATAGTAAATTAATTGGAAGATGTCAGCTTGGGAGAACATTTTTGACATGAGCGCTGTAAGGCTGTTAACAAACAGACTAACTCATTTGCCTCACCATGGAATGAAAATAAAAATCACAATATTACGATAAGATCTTGACTAGGAAATGCCTGCAAGAGTCTTTGAAGCCTCAGGTTCTTTTCTTGCCTGGGCTTTGGCACCGTGATATATGCAAACCACGTTCTACATAACTGTGAAGTGAAATAGGTTCTATGCAGAACAGATGGACCAGGGCTAATGTGGCGATGTGCACTGCAGATGAGAACAGATTAATACCACAAGGGGAGACTGGAGGAAAATTGGAAAGATGGGGGTATTTGAACTAATTCATGAATCAATTCCAACTGATAGTTATGCCTTCAGGCACAGTGAATAATATCAAGGAAGCATATTTAAAATTTTATAAGTTTGTTTTAATGTAGATTAGAATTAAGAGCCATACTTTTGGATGATTAAAAAAAAATCTTGTATTCCCCTGTCCCAGAATGTGCCTTTGTGATTTAAATATCACTGATGAGCTTAATTATGTGCACTGTGACATGAATTGCTGTTTGGAAAAGCCGTGGCAGATTCATGGACTTGGCACAAAGCTGTTGGGAATGGATTTATTAGAGAGTTGAGGTTGAGAATAGAAGGCTCTGGGGAGACCTTAGAGCAGCCTTCCAGTGCTGAAAGGGGGCTACAGGAAAGGTGGGGAGGGACTCTGGATCAGGGAGGGTAGTGATAGGATGAGGTGTAATGATTTCAAACTGAAAGAGGGGAGATATTAGGAAGAAATTCTCTTCTGGGAGGGTGGTGAGACCCTAGCACAGGTTGCCCAGAGCAGCTGTGGCTGCCCCCTCCCTGGCAGTGATCAAGGCCAGGCTGGATGCGGCTGGGAGCAACCTGGTCTGGTGGGAGGTGTCCCTGCCCGTGGCAGGGGGTTGGACTGGATGGTCTTGGAGGTTCCTTTCAACCCAGCTAATTCTATGATTTTTTGCAAGAAGCACTGTGCGAGCTGGGAGAACATGCTCTGCCACTTGCATCCAAGCCACAGAGATGCAGCTCTGCAGTGTTTGGAGGCATGGTTCGATTGCTAGATCTCATTCTGGTGTCTCTCTTAAGTCTTCCCTGTCTTCACCTCATCCAAACAGCCTTCAGTCTTGTGAGGTTCAGACTTCCCCAAGCTGTGACAGAGCAAGCACATGTAGACACCCACATCTTTGAATGAGATCTTCAGGCATGTGTTACAGAATGAGGCTTTCAACAGAGACGTTTCACATGACCGATTTACGATACTTTTGCTAATGGACATTTTACTCTAGGGCAGACAATCACATAGAAATAAAGAGGCCCACCAGAGAATTAAAATGATTTTAACATGCATAAAGCCATCAGGATCTGAAACAGTGAAGATACTTGAGAAATATGTAACTTTCCAGTGTCAGTGAAGATATCAGAGTTTTGTTGATGGGTGGAAAAGCACAATTCCATGTGTTAGGACATCAAAGATTCTTCATTTTGCAAAGCTCAGAGTATATGGATGAGCCTGGTTACTAGTATTTGTAACAGACGTGGTTAATAAAAGGAAAAAAAACCCTGAGTAAGGAAATGTATAGATAATTGTCCGGATGCTCTACCTTCCCTATAGGAGTTCTCAGGAGATTATTTTCAAGCTATAGAGGAGGATGTGAAACACTTGGCAGTGAGGGAATATTTTGAGAAAAATCTAATGAAGACGGCTAGTTCAGTTTGCTAGTAAGGAAATAATCTACATGGGTATAAAATAGCTCTCTTGCCTAAAATTTTATTCTCGTTCTGCTGATTTCATTGTAGGTTGCAAATCTGGCCTGTTCAATCTCAAATAATGAAGAAGGTGTGAAGTTAGTCCGTATGGCAGCAACACAGATTGATAGCCTGTGCCCACAGGTAAGTAAGATTCCTGCTAAAAAGTACTTGAGAACTCTTTTGGCATTAAAAAGCATCAGTTAGCTGAGCCAGGGAAAACAGCCTAGATGAAGATTATAGCCTTCCCTTTGTCATTACATTGTTGCCCGCTTTCCACAAACTGTGAAAAATACACTCGTATCTTGAGACCTGCATATCAAATGGGGTGTAATGCTGTATTTTTACCACAGTCTGTAATCTATTTGTTCTTTCTCATGTGAAAAAAATTTTGCCGCTGCTTGTAACAAGTGATTTTGAATAACAGGTGATAAATGCTGCGCTCACGTTGGCTGCCAGACCCCAGAGCAAAGTAGCGCAGGACAACATGGACGTCTTTAAAGATCAGTGGGAGAAACAAGTGCGAGTTCTCACTGAAGCTGTTGATGACATCACTTCAGTGGATGATTTCCTCTCTGTTTCAGGTACTGGGATCAAGGGACTCTTCTAAAAATACACTCCTAAATTAAAGTAATGGGTCAGAGCAGAGAAAAGCTGTAATTACTAAAGCATCATTAGTCCATCCCTATTGGAATTCTGCTCTTCTGCACTCAGTAGGAGCAACCAAGCCACGCCAATTAATCCCTGGTAGCAATGGTTAGCTTTTTGTCTCCCAGAAAATAGCATCCTATTTGTGCTTCTATTACTGGAGAAGTTTTGTTTCAGCTCAGGCACAAAGGAGGATTTTGGCCACCTTTTAAAAATGTATTCCAGACCTGTGACAGGCTGACAGGACTATAAAAAGTGTCAGAGTCCTTGTGCAGGTGTAGGCAAGAGGAGGAAAAGAGCTTTGTTTTGTAGCTTTGCCCAGATCTGCTGTGTCTAAACAGTGGGGCAGAGGTACCACACAGTCCTGGCCCCCTGGTTTGTAGCTTTGCCCAGATCTGCTGTGTCTAAGCAGTGGGGCAGAGGTACCCCACAGTCCTGGCCCCCTGATCATCCATACCGGGTTACCAGGCCCTGAAGAGGGATTGGAAGAAGGGACATAGGCAGATGCTGCATATGAGTCCCATCTAGGGAAGTTGTCAGGACGTGACCAGTGTGTACATTTCCAAAGAACTGGGAAGCACTCCTGGATCCCAGAGTTACTGGTGTAGCAATGCAACCAGAGAGAAGTAATAAAGTAGTATAAGAAATAGCAAATTTTTGCATTTCTCTGAGCTCGCTAGGAAGGATTACAATACAAAGCAAGCTCTTCTATGAAAACAGCCAAAGTATCTTAGTCCTTACAGAAAGAAGGGATGGAGAAGAGACGGACATTGACTCTTTGGGTCAGTCTTTTCTCCATCCTCCTTGTAAAGTGCTACAACTTGTGGCACAGAGTGTATTCTTACACTATAGTCATACACAATGAATACTATAATTGCGAATTGCTGCATGTCTTGGGTTAATTGTCTGCTGCAGAAAACTCATTTTCCTATTACGGTTTGAAAGAGGTGAATTCTATTGTTGTGAATAAGGACATAGAGCATGCCAAGTGAGCTTAGCTACTCTAATGTCACAGAAGAGGCAAACTTCGGGAGATAGGTTGGCCTTAATTTTATGTTTCATTCTACATTCTTTTCCTTGACATTTCCTAAATTTCCTAATAAAAGTTTAAGATGTTTGAAGGAAAAAAAAAAAATCTTCTTAAAAAATCCTTAATTTTCCTTTTTGCCCCTTTTATTTTGTTTGGTTGTATTACTGTGCTGTTATCAGTAGCAGGGAAATGGTTTGGTTTAGTGTAATTACCCTCCGCTGTTCAGCACCACCCCTAGAGTGTTTACTGCAAGCCATGACAAGAAAATGAAAATGAACTCTCAGAATGAAAGGGTACTTCAGAATCTGGTAGCACGTAGATTTTTATTCGAGATTTGAAGCTGGCAAACACTTCAACAGACGGAGTTCTACAATGAAAGGGCAGACAAAGCTGTAAACTGCAGACCCAGTCCACAAGTCAAAGAGATGGCAAACTTGCTTAAATGGCCATTTGGTTATTTGTTTGAGGACTGTTCGCTCCAGGCATTTGTATCCATAAAACCAGAAGTTATTTGAATGGATGATGTTTTTATTTTTTTGTTTTTCTTGAATCATTTTTTCTTCTAACGTAGTCTTGACTTAGATCCAGACTTTCCAAGGCAGCTGAGAAGTAGTATTTCTGTTGGTTTTAGATTTTTTCCTAGTACTGTCCTTAGACATCTCTATTAAAAATGGGAAAACATCTCATGTATCCAGAAATCCTGTTGCTGCTAGCTGCAAGCTTGAAAGCCTCATCTTACACAGCATAGTTTTATTTTTGGATTTTAAACTAGTGTATGGTTAAATGTACCTCATGAAATGACACCTCCTCCTCTTCATATTGAGTGTCACATTTGATGGCATGTTTTATTAATACAGTGGCTACCAAAAGAAGGCTGACCATAAGTTTGATCTGTTTCTTTATATTCCAAATGCACTGCCTGTTCAAATCCGTACAGCACTTCTGTTGGGCAAAACTTGGCTATGTCATAGTAAAAAAATTGACGATGGTGAGGAGGAAATAGTGAATAAATAGCTTAGCAAAGGAACATTTTTTAAACAAGGATAGAAAGTTTTTTAAACAAAGACTTTTTGCCTTGCAAGTTACACTAATACAGCTTAGGGGACTTTCAGTTTTCATTCAGAGTTGTTACAGTTTAAAATTCGGCGTCATGTAAAACATTTCTGAAACCCTCACGTGATCCAACCCTGGGATTTTTAACAGTGGCGATTAGTGTGTTATTCTATTTTTGTGGACAGCAATAATTAACAAAAAGCAGTTGGTGAACTGATTGATTCTGTTTTATTTATTACTACTACAAAGAACAGCATTTCATTTTCAGTTTAGTGGTGTCTGTGGTGGAAAAGTAGGTTGTTTAGAGTCACTGAGTTTCTCAGAGTGAGTTTGCTCAAATATGAAATCCAGTCACAGTTTTGTTATTAAAATGATTTTTAACGTCACTGGCTGCAGGGAATTAATGTCTGACCTGGTCAAAATCTGCGACATCCTTTCACGTTGTCTGTATGTGAGAATACTACATCAACTGTAATACTGCAGCACGTGAGAGTAGACAGCCTGATTCTGAGCCAAGAAAAAACAATGCAGCTCCCAAGATTTCAATAAAGCTACTTGATATTGCATCATTGGAGCAGACTCACCGTTGTCGACTCTTACTTCAGAATATGCACAGTCACATATAATTATACTGCGTGTCATGAAAAATTCACAGCTTAATCTCTGGCATAGATAGAGTGAAGGAGATGAACTGCTTGTGCACAGGCTTCCTGCTGTCTACAAAGGCCAATTGCTGGGTTTTTTGCAAAATGATTTATTTTCTTTTCCAACTTATTTAGGCACAAATGAACCAAACATATTAAATGTTTATGGGAATGTGTAAATTCATCTGCAGAAAATTGCCCAACTGTTTATTAGAGCATCTACGTAATATTTGACTGCTTTCCATTTTGCATTGATTTTTGATTCACTTTCATTATAATAAAATTCAGTGTGATGCTAGAAATTAATGTGACTCTTTTTCAAAGAATTACAGATTGGTACTCGCTGTATAGGTGAGAGGACGTAGCCCAGTCCCTTTTAAAGATGAACATCACAGTTGGGATTTTTACTGTGATGTGGTGTAGTATCACAGAATGGTATTGGTTTTGCAGCCCTGGATAAGGACAGATATCAATTTTTCAACATATTGACATTTGCTGTTTACCCAAATCAGCTAGCTCTGCTATAAGGAAGAAGACAATGAAAAAAGCCTTCTTTTTTTCCTACGTTCCAGAAAACCATATTCTGGAAGATGTGAATAAGTGTGTGATTGCTCTCCAAGAGGGGGATGTCGACACACTGGACAGAACTGCAGGTGCCATCCGAGGCCGTGCAGCCAGAGTTATTCACATCATTAATGCAGAGATGGAAAACTATGAAACTGGAGTTTATACTGAGAAGGTGCTGGAAGCTACCAAGCTGCTCTCTGAAACCGGTAAGCTTACTTGAAATATTGTTCAATATTAAGTCACTTAAAACTTTCAGTTAGTTCTCTGAAATCTGTAACTCAGAGGGGAACCTGTGCTTGAAAACATGATATAAACAAATAAATTAATGACCATGAATTTTTTTTTATGATCATTCTCAACTCAATGCTACTGCAGAAGTCCTATTGACAAGAGCTGTATAAAAGAAGAGACTCAGTAACCCATCAAGGCTACTCTACTTCATCAAAGTTTCAATGATTTGAGTAAATAATACACATCCTTTTCTTCAAGTTTGCTCTGAGTTGGTTGATTATGTATTATGTGTCTGTAGAAAATCATTACAAACATTACTCTGTAGTCTGTGCAGGTGAATGTACTTGCTGGTGACTGAAGTTGTATTTCTAAACAATTCTTCATTGAAAATACGTTTGAGCAACTGGGAATATATTACCTGATTGAAAAAATATAAAAGTCTGCTAGATGGTTAGACTGGGAAAAAACACTGGTGGGTTGTCTTCTTTTTTAACCTGTTTTTGCCTTCACAGAGCAGGGATTGCATTCATCTAAGTGCAGGTGATTACCTCTGAGCTGGTCATTTTAGACCCCGTTATACTTAGTATTATCCATTGCTGTGTGCATCTGAATTGTTCAATGCAGGCAGTACTATCAAGTGCTCTCATCTTAAAGCAGTAGTCTACGTTTTTTCAGATGAATCATGCTTTGAATTTCACGAACTAGGTCTCCACTCACTGTACAAGTGACCAGCTACGATATAGATGCACGTAGTGTAGATGTCTGAAAATGTCCGAGCTGATCCTCCCCTATCTGACTGTACTTGCTCATTTCGGCTTTAATATTTTAGAAGGAATAAATGAGAATGCACCAGTTCAGGACACAGCAAATGTAACATTCAGATGAAACAACCAGGCATCTCCCTATGAGAGAGAAAAACAAAAACTGTTGTAGCTCTGACAGGATATTTATTAGCTTTGGGAACAGAAATGGGCAAAATGAGCTAAAATATGTTGACATGATTTAATATTACTTGTTGTGTTATTGTTGTCCCCAGCTTACTATCATTTAGCCCTAAAAGAGACCCCAAGCCCTAATTGCACAAACAAATCCCAGTGACCAAAATCAAGAATTTCTTCTTTTTGTGACCTTTCATTATGATGTATTGGAAATCATAGCTGAAGTGCGGATGCTTGCGATGGTGGTTATGTCTAGAAAGTTGTGCCTTGAACACCCAAAATGCTCGTAGATTCACACCAATGGTTCAACACTGGTAGAACCTAGCTTTCACAGGCTCTTTCCTGTGAGCTGCGGAGACACTTTTTTGGGGACAGGTCAGAAATCAGTAGCATGATCTTCAGCCTGTGGTACATGCTCCATTTGGCTCTCCACACCTCTTTGCTATGCAACATTCCTGTTCACTTTACATCTGGCTGAACCCAGAGAGTCAGGTTTTGGCCATGCACAGCTTGAAGATAATGCCGTAAGTTTGCTTCTTTTTTCCCCTCAAAGTTCGGTGATTCTGTATACGTGTCATGTGGATTTTAGGTGGGAGAAGCAACAGTGGGTCTGAAAATTGTTCTTATTAGTCCCCCTATTTTTTTACTACCCAACAAGAGATCAGTGGAATGAGTACTGTAAATTTAACTTAGTTGCAAAAGTTTATGAACTGGTATTATGAATTCACACACACCCAAAAAAAATCTGTTCAGCTTGAGATGGTTAAATATTTTCTTGCACTCTAGTGTTAAAGTCTCCTTTTGATAAAGGAGAGATTTTGAAGAATTCTTCCTATCACTAAGATTTCTTTTATTAGGCAAAACAAAGCATATTTTCAAACTTTTTATTCAACTAGAATTTCTGACCTAATATTCTGTAAAATTTTTTATCATTAATTTTTCAGAGAAGTAACTGACAGGTATAAAGCACAGTTATATAGATCAACAGTAAATACTTACATTCCATATTAAATGTGCATTTTTATATAATTTGAATTATAACTAAGTGCTAGAAGCTCTGTACTAAGGGCACCTTGACAACATCAATTTGTCAATGCTGGGATTCATTACTTAAGACTGAGTCCCTGTTCCTCAAAGTTGTTACTTGTTCTTTGTTTTGTAAAATGTGAGTAAACGTGTGAGCAAATAAAAAAAAAAAAATCATATAAATTTGAAATGGTAGGAACTGTACATCATGCACAAATTGTGCAGCAGAAGTTCGGAAAACGGAATGGGCCCAAATTCAGTGGAGCAAATGAAGGTAAAACGATTTATGCCAGACACGAAGGTGGATCATTAATATTACAGCAGAATTTCTATCTGCAGCTTTTCAGGCCATTTAGAAAGGCATTAATTATTATTTCTCTGAGATTGTTGATTAAAAACGGTGGAATTTACTGACTCATTTTGTCACCCTAGAATGAAGTGGTGAAAATGGTGTTCAGACCACCCTATGCCATTCTGTGCCCTGCCTGTTTATACTCTGCCCTCTCCCCTTGAACTGGTCTCTGTCTACGCAGCCATCTGTGTAGCTATGGATATAGAGATATAGGGATCTATGAATATATACATATATTTATATATTCATTCTATTGTCACCTTGAGAACCTGCATAGATTTTTTCAAACACTCAGGAATGATGACAGTGTTTTATTTAGTCAGGCTCCACCCACAAATGAACATCTCAAAAGGTCTGTGAGACGCTCAGTGATGAATGCCTTATCATTTTCATCTTTGTTACTCTTTTTTAACTGAATCTTTATTTATTTTTAAATGAAGTGCTTTTGAAAGTTGAAAAGAAAAATAGTTAAATGACAAGGAAAGGGAAATAAGCACATTACATTTCTCTTATAATGATTATTTACTTTTAACTATCAGCTCAGGAAAGGAAAGCGTCTGTTAAACCTCCGTCTCCAGGGATTTCATATTGTCATATGAGTACTGGGTTTGATCCACAGATAGTACAGAAATATAGATACACTGTTTTGGAAAGGGAAACACCTTGCAAATAGCTTTTTTGGGAGTGAGAAAATTAATCTTTAATAAATATTGGTAGGTTCTGAGAAGTGGAAATTATGCAAACCTTATGTTAATAACTGGTTTCACCTTAAAGTTTTATTTATTTGTTGTTTTAATTTACAGCCTTTGGAAAATATGGGGTGGGGTTTTTTAGTGGTTTAGTGCTTTCTTGCCTGCACTTGACTGACCCACTGGCTTTATCACCAACTCCTTGGTAGATGCTGGATTCTTATCTCTGGCAGCAGTATTAGGCAGTGACATTGGTTAATGTCTTTTCAAAATTGGGTACTTTTATTTTCCTTTAAAACCAAAATAAAAACTTGACTCTCACTTGCTGACTTTCTTATAAATCCAAGATGAAAACTATAAAACCATAGAATCTATGGGGCTTGCTGGGAACAAGCACAAAACTCACAGATTTTAGCGCATGTTAACTGTGTGCAGGAGTAAACCCAGAGCTTCGGGGTTTAAGTTTTTTCTTTGATTTCAGAGGCACTTTGAACTTTTACTGATATCTTTAGCTTTGTTTCCTAAAAAGCGAAGCCCGGTGGCTCCCTGGGGGCAGACCCAGCCCTGGGCATCAGGCAGCTCCAGGGGGACAGGGATGGCCTGAAGCCAGGCTGGGATGTCAGCTCGCAGGTGGGAGTCAGGGTCAGGCCCAGTCAGGCCCAGGGACTGATAGGCAGGGCCATGTTGATGGCTCCTGTTAAACATTGCTTTGGTATTCAGCATTCGTAGAGAAATTATCCTGCTACAGATGGTCCATGAAAAAAAAAAAAAAAAAAAAGGAAGGAGAGAAGGGTGGAAAGGAAAAGAAGGGAGAAAGAAAATGTTAAAAGCAAGGAAAAAGGCAAAAAGCAAGGGAAGGGAGGAAGAGAAAACAGAGAACACAATTTCTGTTTGAATATTGAGATTTCTCATACTGCTCAGCACCCTGTCCTGGCAGTGACCAAGCCCAGCTGAGAGTGTCCCATTGCCTTTAGGAAGGAGGAGATTGAGGTCTGCTCAGCAATTGCTGGAGAAGCTGTAACAACTGAAGGGAAGCAGCATGAGTTTCTAAACGAGTAAAAAGAATTGTCCATAGAAAGAAATCAAGTAACAGGCAACCGAGTTGAATATTATTTTTCAAGATTTCTGAGATGCAGGGAGGAGAAAAACCTGTGACATTCTTTACAGGTCAGAGGGTTGAATTTAAATTGGGAAAACTAGAGTAGACTTTTGCAGGGTTGTAGTGAAAGGGAGTGAATAGAAAATTAAGGAGAACAAACAGAAAGAATGGGACCAGAACTGCCTGGGAAGGGCTGCAACAGCTTTATGACTTTTTTTGTCCATTCAGTTTGCATTGGCATGTCTGGAAACAATCCTAGAAAAGCAAGTACCATAGTACTTGGGTTTACTCTCTCCTGTGAAGGACATTGAAAATTTGAAATCATCTGAGTCAGACCAGAAATTCGAGTTTCAGCTTTTAGCATGTTTTCGGAATATCCTAGTAACCTTGTAACTAGCTGTTTTCAAGTAGGTCACTCTACCACTTCTGTTTTGACTCAAATTTTTTATTTTGTCTTTATCAGAATGGACTAAAGTTGAAAATCAGCACTGCTGGCAATTCAGCAATAAGCCTGTGAGAGTTTTATCAGTGTGAATAGGACAAACTTTAAAGATATTTATCACTAGGAAAAGGCAGCTCAATGATATTATCAAAGGTAATACTAAAATGTGGTAAAGATGGATTTTTTCAGCAGTGATATGAAGGGAAACAAAATGCATAAGGAAAAAGATGAATTTAAGCGTAGCTGTAATCAAAAAAACTCCAACATATTGAATCTGAGGGAGAGCTAAAAATTGAGCCTATTTAAAAAATAAATTATGTTAAATTCATGTTTTATGGGAGTTTCAGGTAGTTATCGTAACATCATCCTGAGAACATGAGATCATTTATCCAGGGTTTTTGATGAAATTACGGCTTTTATTCTGCAAAG